GAGGAGGACGAGGAGGAGGAGGAGGAGGAGGAGGAGGACGAGGAGGAGTGGCCGCTGGGCGGCCTCCACCGGCGTTTTAGCGCCCGGCTTCACGGGGCAGTTGTAGCCGAAGGCTAGCGGGCAGCCCAGCAGATCGCCGATGCGCCTCACGTCGGTGTGTATGACCTGGAGGTCCTGCTGGCGGTGCACACGATGGGGGGCAGGGGGACGGGGGCAGGCTTCCGTAGATAAGGCCCGCGCCTTCTCAGAAGCAAAGGTGCTTCTAGCAAGCCCTCCCCCTACTCCTAGCCCCCCTGCGCGTGGCTGGTCCTGCTTGGGCAGGAGAGCCCAAAATCGAATCGATGAGTAAGATCTGTGATCCACATGGTCGGAGCGGCGGAAACCGGCAGCCGAATCGGCAGAAACCGAATCGGCGGAGATCGGCATGCCGGCCAGGCCTCCAGTGAAAGCACTGAGCCCCAATCCCCATCCGAAGTCGAACCGAATCGGCATTGGAACTCGGATCGAGCCGTGTCGGGGGAACCGAAAGGAGCCCTGGGCTGGGAGGGAGCGATGGAAAGAGAAAAAAACGGCATAAACGTAAACTTCTGGCGCTCCGCGCGGATTCCTTGGATCTGCGCCGGAGCCCCCTCCCTGGCTCGCGGAGCGCGCCAGGGGCGGCGCCGGAGGCGCCGCCAGGGGGGGGCCGGGCGCCGATCCAAGAAATCCGCGCGGAACGCCAAACGTGAACGTTTATGTTTATGGGGTCCTTGGGGGCCTTTAGCGGCCCGTGGTGGCCTTCGGCGGCCCCTAGTAGCCTGCACAAAGATGCAGGAGGGGTGCTCCTGAATGCAAGAGAGCTTCCCCAAAAACTGACTGAATATTCTAGGAGCACAAACACACGAACGCACAAACACAAACTCTAGAATTAGGTCGGGCGTGTCCCCCTACAGAAGGATTTTCGATGAGATATGCGGATATTTTTCCAAAGATCCAAAAATGACAAATCGTCGAAACATCGTCGCACGACCACGACTATGTTTTGACTATGTTTGGGCATTCCTCCTGTAGAGGGACAGGCCCGACTCAACTCTGGAAGGCCCGCGCAGATTGCTCGGCCCGGCGCTGACCCCCCCCTGGCGGCGCCTCTGGCGCCGCGCCTGGCGAGCCTCGAGCACCAGGGCAGAGAGGGGCCAGCGCGGGTCCGAGAGAGAGATCCTCGCGGACCTCCGAGATGTTCCGGTCTCTGCTGCTCTGGTGAGCGTTATTGATTCGGCGCTTCGACTTTGGGCGGAAAGGGGGAGGGACTCTGGACCTCTGCTTCATGCGCCTGTTTGCACCAGTGCGTCCTATGGGAGATACCCCACATGCTCGAAACAGGCGCCAAAAAACGGCCAAGGCCTACTCCATGGGGAGGGGAGGGGGGAGGTTTGGGGCCCGCCGATCGGCAAAACAGTGAACAAGAAAACGATCACGCGCCTCCTCTCCGCACCTCCAGCGTCGTGGCTTTTTCACTGCGTGGCTCCCCAGAGCTCTGGACCTCTTCCTCCCGAGTCGTTCCAGGACGGTCCTCTGGGGCCTGGCGTTAAGTCGGGCCTGTCCCCCTACAGGGGAATTTTCGACGAAAAACAAAAAATACACCCAAAATAATAAGAATAAATTAGTTTTGTATTTTTTCCATCTTTTTGGGGGTATGTTTTGGGTATATTTAATTTTTCGTCGAAAATCCCCCTGTAGGGGGACAGGCCCGGCAGAAGCCTGGCGAGGGGGCCTCTTGGGGCCATCCATCCCTGCGAACCTTGCGTCGCTGGAACTTCCACGGCGCTCGAGGGCGGCAGGCCTCGACCAGTGCCAGGGAGCTCCCGGCGCCAGTCTCGGTTGAGCAGGGACCGACCGTCCCGGCAGTCATACCACGAAATGTTTTAGAACCCAAAAATGTTCTAAGAACAAAAACAATGTTCTCAGAACATGAACCCGATGTGATAAAACAAGACGGTCCCAGCCAGAAATGCTCTGAGAACCTTCCGTGGGAGCCACAAAAAAGGTTCTTAGAACATGGCTTGCTGGGGCGATAGGCGCGCCCGGACGCTTCGCCACTGCTCGGTCGAAGGCGGCAGGCCTCGCCCGGTGCCAGGGAGCTCCCGGCGCCAGCCTCGGGCTTCTCTCGGCGGTGGACAAACCTCCCTTTAGCAAACCTCCCCTCAATGAAAACGGCCTGGGACCGAAACCGACGGACCTGGACCCGCAAAAAGTGACGGCCGCGACGCCCTCCCGCGAACCGAAAACGGCCAATTCCATTAGGGAGCCCACAAAGGACGTACGCGCCCAGCTATGTACATGAACACGGCCCCTCGATTCGCGAGACTGGCCGCGTGATAGGAACATTTGTGCAATGCGTGCTCTCGAAACCAGCGTGGATTCATGTACATGTACGTGGGTGGGAGGTCTGCCCACCCCCCAACTCTCTCGGGGGGGCGCCTCCGGGGGCCTCACAGAGCTCTTCGGCGGGGGGCCCTCCGGGGAGCGCCGCGGGGGGGAGCCCTCCTGCGGGGCGCCGCGGCGGGGCTCTGTCAGGGCCCCCTGGCCCGATGACCCTCGGCAGGTCCCGAGGCGCGCGGCCCCGCTGGCCGCCTCCTCCTCCTCCTCCTTCTCCCTCTCTAGCCTCCTCTCCTCCTCTCCTTCCTCCTCGCCTCCGCCTCCTCTCCTCCTCCTCCTACTCCTCTCCTCCTCCTCCTCCTCTCCTACTCCTATCCTTATTCCTTATTAGAATATACTCCTACTCCCCCCTCAGGCCGGCCATTAGGGGCCGCATCCGGGGGGTCCCATCCTAACCTGTAAAAAACAATACAAAATCAACATGTTTCTTATTTTTTCCTCTCGGCATGGACGTCCTGTCGTCCACGGCGATAATCCATTGCAAAAAATACCACAAAGAGCACACGCGCGCGTTCATGTCAGAATCCTACCGAACACCGTGTGTTTGCAAGCATTTCAACATAAAAACATCAAAAACCCAATGCTTTTTCACAAAAATTGTACAAATTTCCCGCCCGGGCTCTCTTGCTGAAATCATAGGAAAACCATCGGAATCTTAAGAATTCTGTCAAATCCAGCGATTTCACGTCATCGCGCGGTGCACTCGCGATGCTCTGTCATGCACCCAGGCCGCGAATCCTGTGCAAAAAATACCACGCGGGCGACATGCGCGCGCGTCGCCGCGAGCGCATGCTCAAATCCTTCTAGAGTCGTCGCCGTCATTGGCACCGTCGCATGGACGTCCTGTCGTCCACGTCGCAAAATGCATGGCAGGAATGGGACGCGGCGCACACCCCGCGCCCGCCCATCCAATCCGTCCCATTCTAATCTGCAAAAGACAATACACAGTTTCTGTTTTTCGGCATTCAACACGCGCTCGCCAGTTCCCGTCGGCAACCGCCATCGCGGCCGCATCAGCTGTACCAAACCGGCTGGCCGGTGTGACTTCGGCCCCCAGTTGTGCCAGCTTTGCTTCTTATGTTGTGGGAGGGCGGGTGGGACTGGGCATGCCATGCTTGACTCGCTCGAGCTGGCTAGCTTGACTCCTACTCCTACTCCTACTCCTACTCCTACTCCTACTCCTACTCCTACTCCTACTCCTACTCCTACTCCTCCTCCCCCTGGCCACAAGACAGCCAAAGAGGCCTCCAAGATAACCCTAAGACGGCAAAAGACGGGCCAAATTGGGAGAAGCGGCTTGGTGGTCAGTGCCATGGTGGTTACCGCTGTCTGCCTGCTCGGTCACAAGCTGCCCAGACAAGCGTGGTCACCACCACGTAGCCTGCATGGTGGCTGACAGTCCTGGCCCCGTCCGACCGAAGCTAAGGAACGATCCACTGGGGGGCGCCTGTGTATACAGCAGTACCAGGTGTTTCACGCTACTTTTGCGCACTGGCTCAACCACCAACGCCCTGGCCACCACTCCAGAAATCCAGCCCAACTCTCACGACCCCTGCCCCACACATCGCGTTCTTCTCCTGGACCGTTTTGTGATGGCCCTAGGGCCCGAGGCAGGCCTGAGGCCGCAACAGACGAACATGTTTTTTTTCGTCGGCGGCGGGGCAGAAGCAATCCGCTCCAGCGTGAGGCGAATCGGGGCAACCAACCGAAAGGCGAAGTGTCCGGCGTGCAAGAGGAAGGAAGGAAGAAAGGTTGGCCACGCGCAGAGGGGAGCAAGGGGAGAGGGGAGGGCTTCTCAGAAGCCCCCGTGCTTCTTCTAAGAATCAGCGTTCTGATAATCAGCCTCCTAGTAAGACGAGGGCGGCCGCGCGGGCAAAACAGACGAAAAACAAGCGGCGATGAACAATTACTCACTGCGTGGAGCTCCCCATATGTGCCATGGCCGCGAACGGGCCCGTGAGAACACCCCTGGCGGCTCCCCTTAGGGGTGCCGAAACCAGCGCCCCGCCTGACACATCCTCACAATCTGCTCTGAAAGCAAAGGATGTTGGGCATGGAAACGAACAAAACGCATGAGACATCCCCACAAACTGGCCGCGAACGGGCCCGTGAGAACACCCCTGGCGGCTCCCCTTAGGGGTGCTGAAACCAGCGCCCCGCCTGAGACATCCTCACAATCTGCTCTGAAAACAAAGGATGTTGGGCATGGAAACGAACAAACCGCCTGAGACATCCCCACAAACTGGCCGTGAACGGGCCCGTGAGAACACCCCTGGCGGCTCCCCTTCGGGGTGCTGAAACCAGCGCCCCGCCTGAGACATCCTCACAATCCGCTCTGAAAGCAAATCTGGGCAATGGAAAACGGCAAACGCTAAACATCCCACAAACTGGCCGCGAACGGGCCCGTGAGAACACCCCTGGCGGCTCCCCTTAGGGGTGCTGAAACCAGCGCCCCGCCTGAGACATCCTCACAATCTGCTCTGACAGCAAAGGATGTTGGGCATGAAAACGAGCAAACCGCCTGAGACATCCCCACAAGCTGGCCGCGAACGGGCCCGTGAGAACAACCCTGGCGGCTCCCCTTAGGGGTGCTGAAGCCAGCGCCCCGCCTGAGAGAGACATCCTCAACATCTGCCGTGTGTTGAGTAACTCAGACTATGAGAAGGTCTGAGTATGTGTAGGTCTGCGTATGAGTAAGTCTGTATATGAGTACGTCTGGGTATGTGTAAGTGTGAGTATGAGTAAATATGTGTACGAGTAAGTCTGTGTATGTGTACGTCTGGGTCTGAGTAAGTCTGAGTATGAGTAGGTCTGAGTATGAGTAAGTCTGCGTATGAGTAAGTATGTGTATGAGTAAGTCTGGGTATGAGTAAGTCTGAGTATGAGTAAGTCTGTGTATGAATACGTCTGGGTATGAGTAAGTCTGAGTATGAGTAAGTCTGTGCATGAGTAAGTCTGTATTCTGGGTGTGTTCTTGTTCTCTGGAGTCGGCGGCGCCCAAGAAATAACAAGAACCCCATCTTAGGATAAGGGGAAACAACTCGTCGGAGACAGGGGGTGCAAAGTGCGGGCGCGGCCGCCAGAAAAAACCCAACCCTGCAGACCCGCAGTGGAGGCGCAACTGCGAAGAAGCCCGCAGCAATTCGCAACGCCCGCGGGAAGTTGCCGTTAGATCGGGCACGTCCTCCTGCAGGCGGATTGTGAAAAAATAAGAAAGAATCAAGAAATATGGAAATAATCAGAAATAGTAGAAAAATCGTTCCATATTATTTTGAACTATTTCTGACTCTTCCTCCTGTGGAGGGACATTCCCGACCCAAGGCACCACCGTCCTGGCCAGGCTGCGAGCGGCGCTCAGCCGTGGCGACGGTTCTGAACCTCCAGAAACGCCCACCGAACCCTCCGAAAGCAACGACGCCACGCCGCCGCCGCCGCCGACGACGACGACGAAGACGACGGCACCGTCTAATGTCACCCCCCTCCATGCGTGCAGCTTCCTCGGCTTCCGGTCCCCCAGACCTCTGCCGAAGTGCGTTCTGGCCAGAATGTTGAAGCTGATCCAGCTGTGGCGACGAAAAGCCTCCCAAACAGCCCAGTAGCGTCCAAAACCCTCGATCCTCGAACCTCGATCCTAATTTTCTTGGCCCTCCCTCTTCCTTGGCCCCCCTTTCCGCTGGTGCCAGACAAAACCCCCCAGCGCCGGGAGCGACCAGGCATGGAGGATCGCGCTGGTCGCTGGGGCCGGAACCAGCTGCACGCAACATTTTCGCCCCCCCCCCCCCCCACGCACTCCCAATCCACCTCCATTTCGTCCGAGATCCGGCGGTTCGATTGGTCTAGACATGGGCTCCCGAACCTCTTTGCCGCCTTCCCCAGGCCGAGCTGCCCGTCCTGCGTCGTCTCTGACCAGCTCTGGGGCCGAACACCGCCTCCAGAAAACGTCGCCGCCCGTCGTCGTCACCGCCCGTCGCCGCCATCCCCGCCCGTCGTCGCCCATGCCGCCCGTCGCCGCCCGTCGCCGTCGCCTCGGGACCATCGCCACAAAATCGCCGCATGGATTGCATTACTCAGGTTGCATCGCACACGTTGCACCACACAGATTGCACGGCATGGACTGCATTACGTAGTTTGCATCGCATACATTGCACCACATAGACTGCACCGCATGGATTGCATTACATGGGTTGCATCGCAAACATTGCACCACACATACATTGCACCGATAGATTGCATTCCATATGTTGCATCGCATACATTGCACCACATAAGTTGCACCGCATAGACTGCATTACATAGGTTGCGTCGCAAACATTGCACCACATAGATTGCCTTACATTGGCTGCATCGCATGCCTTGCACCACATATGTTGCACCGCATAGACTGCATTACATGGGTTGCGTCGCAAACATTGCACCACATAGATTGCACCGCATAGACTGCATTACATAGGTTGTATCGCATACATTGCACCACATAGATTGCACCGCATCGACTGCAGTACATCGGTTGCACCGCACTCATTGCAAAACATGGATTGCACCGATAGACTGCATTACATAGGCTGCATCGCAGATATTGCACCACATAGATTGCACCGCACGGATTGCAGCACATAGGTTGCATCACACACACACACACATTGCCCCACGGATTGCACCTCACAGATTGCGAGAGCCTACGGTTTGGGGCCCACGCTGGTGGACATTTGCTCCATGCGTGGCCCCCAGGGGCCCGGACCCGTTCCCCAGGGGTCAGTGTTCGTACCGGATCCGCCTGTCAAGTGTCTCGGGGCCCGGAGGCGGGCCCTGCAGGCCGAAGTCGAGGAAGAACGCCCCGACGGAAAAAGCAGAAGCGAGCCATCACCCCGTGCTGGCTCCAGCCGCCAGGTCTCTGAGCCCAGAGTCGAATCGGTGGAAATCGGCAGCCCAGTCAGGAGAAAACTTACCAGCCTCGAACGTATCCCTGTCCCTGAGATTGACACGCCACAAGGCGATGACAATCTTAGGGATTCGCCCTCAAAAATTAATGGAATCCCTAAGATTGGCATTGTGATGAGGAGGTGCACAGCATAGGGATAGGGATATGTTCCAGGCTGGTAAAAAACGAACCTGCGGAAATCGGCAGGCCAGCAGGGCCTCCACCGAGAACTCGGGCTCCAGATCGGATTCAGGAATCGAGTCGAATCGGAATCGGAAACCATCGAACTCGAATCGAACTCGAATCGAATCGAATCGAATCGAATCGAACTCGAATCGGAATCGAGTCGAGCTCGAATCGAATCAAATCGGAGGAAACGAGATGAGCCCTGTCTCTGGGCACCGCGACCCGCGCGTCCAGCTTCTTCGGCTTCCGGTCTCCATGAACGTACAGCTGCATGCCTGCCCAGAGCGCCGCATGCAGGCGGCGACCCCCCCTTCCCAACGGCAAGGCGACGAGACCTGTACACATCCACGCGGATGGTGCCAATGCCGTTGATGATGACGATGATGCTGATTACGACATCGTCAGCATCATCATCATCATCATCATCATCATCATCATCATCATCATCATCATCATCATCATTATCATCATCACCATCATCATCATCAGTATCATCATGAGTATTATTATCATCGTCATCATCAGCAGCAGCATCAGCATCATCACCACCTCCACCACCGTTATCATCATCACCACCATCATCATCAGCATCATCAGCAGCAGCATTAGCATCGTCGTCATCATCATCAACATTAGCATTCATCGTCCTCATCATCATCAGCAGCAGCAATAGCATCAGCATCACCATCATCATCACCATCATCACCATCACCATCACCACCACCACCATCATCATCATCATCATCAGCATCATCATCGTCATGAGCATCGTCATCATCATCATCATCAGCAGCAGCAGCATCATCATCGCCTCGGGAGTTCCCGAACGAAGTGTACCCCACCTCCCCCCTCAGAGATCGTGGGGTGGAGGGGTAGGGTTCGCATGTGTCGACTGGGGGATCGACTACGGAATTGTTTTACCCCAAAATTGATTTTCACGTCGACTCTTCAACAAAAATACGTCAACCATTCGTAGACCTGCGAAAGTTCTACGAATTGCCCGTGGATTCGACAAGAAAAATCAATTCTGGGGCAAACCAATTCTGTAGTCGATCTCCTACTCGAATGTGGTCCCCCAAATAGGGGCACGAGGGGACGCAGCGCAGGGGGGGCAAGAGGCCGGGGAAGGAAGGCACACACGCCCCGACCCCGGGCCCACGGCGGGCGCGGGCCGGAGAGCGTCGGGGCACAGTTGGCACCACCCGGCGGCGTGGCAACAACGCGGACCACTGGCAGGACAGCAGCACGAAGACAAACAAAAATGCCCCGCGGCGGAGAGGAAGTGCCCCTCCTCCTCCTCCCCGGCCGACCCCGGGTCGTGGCAGCGTTCCACCTGGAGCGCCCGCGCTGGGGCCGCCGCCGCGTGGGTGCGGCGCGAGCCTGCCGCAGTTTTTCACGGGGGAGGAGGAGGAGGAGGAGGAGGAGGAGGAGGATGGAGGAGGAGGAGGAGGAGGCGGAGGAGGAGGAAGAGGAGGAGGAGGAGGAGGAGGAGGAGGAAGGGGAGGAGAAGGAGAGGAGGAGAGGGAGGATGAGGAGGGGCAGGAGGAGGAGGAGTAGGAGGAGGGGTGGGGAGGAGAAGGAGGAGGAGGAGGAGGAGGAGGAGGAGGAGGGGGAGGAGGAGGAGGAGGAGGAGGAGGAGGAGGAGGAGGAGGAGGAGGAGGAGGAGGAGGAGACGACCCCGAGATCCCCGACGGCGCGGAGAAGCTGCAACGCCGCCCTCAGGCAAGACTGGGGCCCAATCCCGAGTTCCTTCGTAAGCGTCGGGGTGGCGTCGCCCCCGCCGACAGCCCCACGTCGCCCCCCGTCGCGGGCCGTCGCTGCACGCCGAAGGCGCTCCGACCCCCGTCGCGGCGCGAAGACGAGGCGAGGTTGACCCACGTCGGGGGGGTATTTCCCCACGCATATCAAGAAACCCAGAATAGACTTAGACAGTCAAGAGTTCGCTAGGGACTGGTTTCCTTTCAAAACAAACGAAACCCCACTGAATCCCTGCGAAACCCCTCTGGGAAGGGTTCCCAGAGGCTTTTCAAAGGGTTTCGGCAGGGTTTGGGTTGCTTTGGGGGAAGCCAATCCCTATCGAACCCTGAGCTTTCTAACCCAAGACTTATGTTGCTGCCATTAAGGACCACATCCCAGAAATAATTTCGAGCACCCGGAAAAGTGTCAAAAGAGTATCGAAACAGTGTCGAAACAATGTCGGGCGAGTGTCTCCTAGGGCCCGACACGTGAAAACCCTTGAGTTTCGGTATTTGTTCTGGCGCTCGAAATTCTTTCTGGTGATCAAGGCTGAAGCAAGTTGGAGCATCATAACCCTGGACCCCATCTTCCGGCGACATCTCTCGTGCCAGATCGATCCGTGAGGGCCTCGGGGGCCCGAAGCCCGCCAAGAGCGCCCAGAGTGAGAAAAAAACCTGCGACGCCCCGCCCTCCGGGGAGGAAACGACCCTCGCAGGGGAAAGGGAGAAGGGCACGAGGAGGAGG